TCATAAATCATTTAGCACATAAAAGCAATTTAGGAATAATTCCTAAAATAAGCTAGTGCTTGTGTCTATTCAGGTGTATTACCTAAATTTTATTAGACACACTTCTCACAATCATTGCTTAGCATTCTAAGTTTATGTCTAGAAATAAATCCATATTCCTAGTTCGCTTAAACTAATGCTCTGATACCAAGTGTGACATCCCCATTTTCACGGCCAGAAAAGACCGATTTTGTTTATGCTTTATAAAAATCAGAGTACTTCTTTTAATAGAAATGTTGCGGAATTTGTTCCCAGAAAAACATGATAAATACGTTATTAAAACATTTTCGAAGAAACGTATTTTATTCATTTCAAAACATTTGGGATGTCATCGTTAATACAGAAACATAAGCATAAACAGAACTTACATTTATTTACACTAGTGATCTACATCTTTTTAAATCTCTCGGTGTAAAGTGACTTCGTATCAACACATGTGATATAAATAAACTGAGTGGGTCAGGTTGGGAAACCTGGTGAGTACATAGGGTTTTCAACCCACAATAATATAATTATTATGTTTAAACAATCAAACAATCAACCCAATTACCCATCCCCATTATCTTCTTTAGTCTTAAGGATCTATCCTAAGAATCAGCTATTCCTCGTTTATTTATTCCTAAGGATCATCCTAAGGAATCGACACGAAGTCCATCATTACCAAGGCTTATAGAATATATCTGGTGAGCACGTAGTCCGAAACATCTGGTAAACACTTAGTTCAAAAGTAACTAGTGAACACACTTAGTTCAAAATACCTAGTGAACCCACTCAGTTCAAAGATATGTAGTGAACACACACTCAGTTCAAAATACGTAATGAGCACCTAGTTCAAAAACACCTACAGGTTATGAGCTTACTAGCGTTCCACCGGACCGTCTAGTATCGCCCATTGTCATCATCTATACTCCACTAGATGACTAGATCACTGACAATATTGATGTCTCCCATCGTGTTATCAAAAAACAACTATTTCATCTACTCATGTTTTACCCAACACATTTTGTAGATATAAAACACATATACAGTTTAAATCATTTAAAACATGTATAAAAATCTTTCACCCAGCATCGACTGCAAGTATTCAGACAATATGCACACACAACACGTAATTTATATTAAAATACTTCATATCTATGTGTATGATGAAAGGGAATATGCACTCACCTGAAAGGTGGTGACTCAGCACTCGAACAATGCTTCGATACTCTCAAGACAATTTCCTTTGATAACACAGCGAATTTTATCGAAAACCAGAACTTTATTTGGAGCAGCGTTTCGAAACCGAAAGACTCTTTTTCTCGGGATTCCGGGAGCCTCAGGGCTTCCTTAGGGTGCTAGGGGTTCACCTAGACTTTAGGGAGGGTTCAAAACCCTAGAGAGAGAAAGATTTTAGAGAGAGAATGAGAAATGGTGTGAAAAATCCGAGAGAATTCGCAGCTATTTATAGGTTGCTGGCTTCGGACTACGTTGGGCGTAACTTCGGATAAGACTGCTAGCCTCTGTCCAGCTGTCTCGCACGTGCATTGGTTGACAAGGAGCGAAGGTACGCTAGGCGTACCGACTTCGGACGCGGGGCGTACTGTGAGGGTGATGTAGCAATCATCGGATGCGAGGCTAGATCAGCAATGGACAGACTAGATCGTGCCACGTCAGCGAATTTGCAACAGACTTCGCAATTTCATGCTTCAACTTTAAAAATTCGTAACTTTTGCGTAAGAGCTCCGTTTTCGACGTTATTTATATCCACACGAAGGTGGGAACGTACTCTACAACTTTCGTTTAGACTTTCTTAGTTAATTTTAAATCGGTTTTAAATTTTATTTTATTAACAGGCCGGGACAGGATTGGTCCGTTAAATTCTCATAACTTCTTCATCCGATGTCCGTTTTCGCCCATCTTTTTCTCGTTACGCTACTCTTAACGATATCTTCGATTCTCGTTTAGGTCGTGTCGGCTAAAAATCACCCGATCTAACATTCGAATTTCAGGCTGTACACTACTAATCCGAAACTTCGAAAAATCATAACTTCTTCATACGAAGTCAGATTTGGGCGTTCTTTTTATCGATATTATTAGTTTAACATATTCTACGACTTTTGTTTAGATCGCTAAGGCTAAATCTCGCTCTATCGTAAATTCACTATTTACGCTTCCCGGTATCATACCGGTTCAGTCGCGAGACTTCAATGGGTCATAACTTCTTCGTTATAACTTGGATTTCGGCGTTCTTTATACATACGAAAACCTTGAGACATATTCTACAACTTGGTTAAGATTATTATTCTAAATAATCTTTTGTCGAAAAGTCATTTTCGACCCCTATTGCCTCTAAATTGACTAGCCTGGATCTACGGGCGTTATAATATATATATATATATATATATATATATATATATATATATATATATATATATATATATATATATACTAGAGAAAACTTAGATCCAAAGCATTTATGGTTGTATGTGCACCATAGGAGTGTTATAGTACATAAAACCCAACAACACAAAGTCTCTTCTTGCAAAATTCGGAATGGTGGGAGACTCAAAGGTCAAGGTTCCAATGGCACTCTATCGACAAATGATAGGTTCATTAAAGTATCTAACTGCTAGTCGTCTAGACATTATGTTTTTTTTGCTATTATGTCAGGTTTTAGGCGTATCCTTGAGAACCCCATGTGACCGCAGTAAAGAACATCTTTCGATACCTAAAACGAACGACTTCTCTCGGAATTTTGTACTCTTCAAACTCAATTTTTTTTTCAAGCATTCTCTGATGTTGATTTTGGCGGATGAGGACTTGATCGCAAAAGTACAACTGGAGGATGTAAATTTCTAGACGGCAAACTCCTAAGTTGGAAATCAAAGAAGCAAACATGTGTCGCTTTGTCCACTGTTGAAGCTGAGTATCTCGCAGCCGCCTCTTGTACCTCTCAAGTGATATGGATTAAAAGTCAGATAAGAGATTATGGGATTAATATGAAGAGAATCCCCTTATACTGTGACTCCGAAAGTGCAAATCACATTTGCTATAACCCAATGTAACATTCGAAGACCAAGCATATAGCACTGAGGTATCATTACATAAAAGATCACGTGGAGGATGACAATGTTAAAATTCACTTTGTAAGATTTGCGAATCAACCGGCTGATATATTTACGAAAGCCTTACCTGAACCATCATTTAATCAAATCTTACAAGGCTTAGGAATGATAGAAGCAGATTATGTTTCGAAATCCGCATAGTAAAGTAAAGCAGTGTCCCTTCTCTGAACCGCTCTGAGCCCTCGGAATGCTTCGGAATCAATACTTCATGTTCCAAATGGTTGCAAGCCCTCAAAATGCCTTGGAGTCTAATGTTCATTTAAAGGTTTGAACATTTTATATCCTTTGTATATTAAGTCTCTCCCAACTAATTCGGAACTTGCTGTACATTTCTGTTTTTAATTTTTTTTCTTTTTCAAAAAACTCCAAAATTACAAAATATTTTCTTTATTTTTGTTTCATCTTTTCAAAAAAACTCATAATCACCAAAAATATTTTTCTTTATTTTGTGTGTTATTTTGATATTGTCTTTTTGAAGCAGGTTCGTTTTCATCTTGCTCTTAATTCTAAATGATGGGGAAGGTTTTTAACTCTGAATCTTTGTAGTAGTTACGTGTCCCTAGAAGCATGCTTTTGTATGTTGATTGAAGCCTCTGAGACTCTATGTTTGAAGCCTTAACAATTCAATACTACAAATTGTTTCTTCCCAATTAGGCTATACATTCAGATAATTCATTGAGCTACCTTAATCTTCTCACAGTGAGTTAAGATTTCACTACTTGGTCAGTATTATATATCATAGATACATTATATCTTCGGAACTACCTCCAACATTTCTCCATCATTTTCACTTCTACAAAAGTAACCCTCGAGACTCTCAGAAATTACTATAGAGGTTTATTATTGTACATAATCTGTGTTCGTGATCTTAAATTTGTTATCACCACGAACTGAGTGAAACCCAAAATCCAAAACCAGTTTCTGAATTAACGGTGAAAAATTCTATATTTTTCACCATGGAATTGTCGGAATTCAACATTCGTGGTTTGTACCTTGGAATCTCATTGTTTTTATTTTTTGTGAGATCTTGATGAAATGTTCTTAACCTAAAACTTTTCTTCCTACAAGATCCAGTTTTTATTGTTTTCTTGAGATTTCTATATTATCCAGCAACATAAATCAATCCAAAGCATACTTGTTTTTTGGCTACACTGGTCAAACAAGTACTTCTTCCATACTTTCAGACTTATACTGAGTTTTGGAATTTGTTTGAAGATGAAACCTCCCTTAAGCCTACTGAAAAGAAGCCTTTCACTGTTTCTTCACAAACAGATGATCGTAATTCAACGGGATGCCACACAAGCACTTCCGAGTCTCTCTTGATTCCAAAGGAAGAGATCGTTGCCCTGGATCCAGCTGTGTTTATGTTGATTTATAATTGACATCACAGATTCCTAGATATAATTTGCTTTATTTCTTTATCTTTGACACACTCTTGCACAAAAATCCTTGTGATTTTTCAAAAGTATATTCTCACAATTCTGAATGGTTACTTTCAATTTAAAACAGGAAATGGCTACTTGTTCTGAACCAGTTGTGCAGTTTAATGCTTTGTTATGAATGTGCAGAACTGAAACAGCGGTTTTAAAGGGATACGACTTCAAACTTTGGGCGCGTGTTTTTCAAAATTCGTGACATCACGCCCTATTAGTTACGCCGTCTGACATCATGCCTGTCAGTTACGTCTTTTTAGGCGCTTTTTCAGGTAAACAAAATGTCTACATCTGGCTTTCTCTCTCCACCAATGAAGTATAAAACAGTTTATCGACGATTGCTTTTCTCACCACTTTTCAAATCTCTCAAGCAAATACCCTTTTCTCTCTGCACTGTTCACCTTCATCTCTAACAGTTTCAATGGCTGAATCGTCTAAGACTCCTTTTGTCACTAAACAATCTGGTTCAACTGTGATGCTCAATATCAAGGCAAATCAGAATCTCATTCTGGATCTTAACTCTTCAAGATACTTCGATGATATCAAGCCCATGATCGAATGTCTGAAATATTCTACTATTGCTCAAGCTCTGACAATGGCGGAAAATGTGCCAATGGTTCATCTCTCTATGGCATATTCTTTTGCTTTCTACAATCAGAATGAAAGGGTGATTAATTTTGAAATCGATTCCCACAAAACCTCCATCTCAAAAACTTGATTTTGCAGGCTATTAGGGTTTTCTTCCATAGAGGGTCTTGTCGATCCTGAGTCGAATTCTTCAGCCGCCACCCTTGAAATGTTTTTCCAGATAAGATATCTTGGTGAGAATGATCTTGTGTCAAAGTTCAAGAAACCTAACCTTCCACCAATATGGAATGGCCTATTTACTCTACTTTTCAACAGTTTTTCAAAACAAATTACTGGGTCAGACAGTGCTAGCAAGCCATTTTGTACGATTATTTATGGCCTTTACACTGGGATTAACCTTGATTATGGTTTAATCCTCTAGGCTCAACTAGTTCAAAGCATACTCTCTACAATGAGGCACTATGAAGTTCCAGGCGCTCGTTTTTGGTCGGTTATTATTAAACGTGCTCTGGCTTTCCTTCAGATTTAAGTACCAGAAGACTCGGTATCGGCTGCAATTATAATATTCCATTCCAACAACTTCCTCATATCTGATCCTACCAAGTTTGATTTTGTGGTATCTCTTCTAGAATTCATGCTTCTTCATGTTCCTGCAGATAATGTTGTTATTATCGAGTATCGGAAGACGCCTGCTGCAGAAATTCGCCCTATTCCTGATGCTCTACGAAAGGAAATTGACTAGGATGGAAAACCAAAGAAGGGAGGAAAGCGACAAGCAAAAGCTGGACCTTCAAAGCCTGTTCAAACTCCGAAGAAGAAAGTCAAGAGGGCTGCTCGCAAGCCGGGATCACTTTTACCAATCACTCAGGAGGAATCGGAGTCCCGAGCCATTTCAGAAGATATTCAGGCTCAGAATGACAACATTGATATAGGAGCCACTTCGCAACCCATGGTCTCGGAGCCCATTACCACTCATTCTACTGTCAAGGTATCATCTCCCATTTCCAATTTAATTCCTATGACAAATTATTCTTTTCATGTTCCTTCTCCTCCACCTTCTGCTACTGCTACTTCTACACCCATCACAATAGCTCCATGTATAAATATTTCTGTTGGGATTTCTGTGACATCCCCGAATTCATGGCCAGAAAAGATCGATTTGTTTACGCTTTATTTGAAAATCAGAGTATATTTTTTAAAAAAAAATATAATGCAGAATTTGTTCCCAAAAAATATGAAAAAGAATTTATCAAAGCATTTTCGTAGAAATGTATTATATTAAAAACTTTGGGATATCATTTTTAATACAGATCAAAAGCATAAACACAAATAACATAGGCATTATAATATCAATTTATTCTAGTAGCTTATAATCCATTGATCTCTCATCAGATCATCACTCATGTGCTCTCTTTCCACTACCTGTATATGTGAAAACTGAGTGAGTCAGGCTTGGGAGCTTGGTGAGCACATAGGGTTTTCAACCCGCAATAAATAAGTTTATTAATTTCATCAACCAACAATAACCCGATTACCCATTCCTGTTATCCTCACATTACGTCCCTAAAACACCTATTGTAAGGGATCTAGCCTAAGGATTATCATCGGGATGGACACTATTGCTAAGGGGTCTCCTCAACAATAAATGTCTGTAAGGCAACCATGAGGGGGATAGAGTACACCAGTGAACACATCGTTCACAAACACATACAGGTTGCGGGCATGCTAGCGTTCCACTTGAATGTCTAGAATAGTTTGTGGTTGTCATCTATTCTCTGCTAGATGACTTGATCAACAATAACATCGAGGCCTCTCATCATTTTATTTCATCACACACCAACTATTTCATCTAACCATGTTTTACCCTAACATATTTGTAGATATAAAATACATATACAGTTTAAATCATTTAAAACATGTATAATAGTGTTCGTCTAACATAGATAACAAGTATACAGACAATATGCACACATAGCATGTAATTTATATAAAATACTTCATATCTATGCGTAAGATGAAAATAAATATGCACTCACTTTAGTAGCGTGAGTAGATAGAATCTAAAAACGGTCAACGGCTCGTGATCGTCAGGCTCGGGACGCGGAACGGCTTCAAAAAACGAGAGAGAGAAGGAAGATTTGGTGTAAGAAGTGAATGAGGTAGAACTTGCTATTTATAGGCTGATTTTGGCCCATTCACTTCGTGAGAAGTCATTGCTCACGTCGTGAGCCATGGATGAATCACCTCGTAGCTTCGACATCTGCGTTCTAGGCTTGAATAGTGTCTGTTTGACTCCTCATGTCGTGAGAATTCATTACTCACGTCGTGAGCTTTTGAGTTATCGTTGCTGTAGACTTTTAGCTTTGAAATGTGACTTTTTGACTCCTCACGTCGTGAGAAAAGAGGCTCACGTCGTGAGTCCAGTCAATTTAGGGTTTCTGACACGTGTCATGCTCTAGGACAATTGTATCTTCGGAAGGTCATAACTTTTGCATACGAACTCCGTTTTTGACGTTCTTTATATCCACGCGTAGGTGGAGACGTACTCTACAACTTTCATTTAGACTCCTAAGGATAAAAAGTAGTTTATCATTAACTAAATTTTATGTTTCCCAGTGTCGTGCCGGTTTTGATGCGAAATTTTGACAGGTCATATCTTCTTCGTTATAACTCGGATTTCAGCGTTCTTTATATCTTCGGAATCCTTGTCCCGACCACTACAAATTTATTCATAGATATTGGACCTATTTATTATTTTATTTTTGACGCTTATTTTTATTCTTAACTTATTATATCTTATAATTAAGTATAAGGCACATAAAATCACATAATATTCAAATAATTCCTATTTATTATTTCAAAGTAGGTTATAAGTGTTGACCCCAAATATTACACCATTACATTAATGCTTAGCCTAGAAACACGGGCGTTACAATTTCGCAACCGCAAATATCTATTGTCCAATCAACTCCCCTCTACACTAAATCTACCATGACAACTACCATTACTTCACCTTAGGTAACTGCCAACATATCTGATATGGGGGCAGGTGCTTTTGGTGCTAATATTGGTTTTTAGTTTCTCTCCTGTCTTGCCCTTAAGGGTTAATGATCCTGGCACTATTTTTGGTGATGACCGGGATGACTTTCAAGACTTCCACTACAATCCCTTTACTATACACGAAGAAAGTGATGATGATGAGGCACCTATGACAAAAGCAGTAGTTCAAGACGCTAAATGAAATTTGGATACTCTACTTCAGTCTTCCAAAACATCTTCCAGCAGTGAATACTCCCTGGAGTCTGTAAAAGCATTAATTAAGACTCTTACTAAAGAACATGCCACAAGCCTCGGTGCTTCTGCAAAAGCTGTAGAAAAGTCAGAGAAGACAGTTCATGAAACGACCGAAAAAGTCGAAAAACTACTTGCCAACGTTACTTAGTTTATGGACGACTTTCGGCATTCCTCTGATAAAAACACGGAGGCTGCTAATAAGGTGATAACGAATCTTGGCTCCACTCTTCACACTGAAAAAAAGGCCCTCTCCAAAATTCGTTCGTACCCGATAGTTGATAATGCAAAGATAAGTGTGTCTATTGTTTCTAAGATTGAAAAGTTATAGGCAGATCTTGCCATCGAGAATAAGATCATTAAATAAATTTTTTGTGAATACCGAAAAAGTGAAAGTTCTTTCCGTCCACCTTGAAAGTGCCAACCAGCAGCTTGATGCTCTAAAGTCTGAAAAAGTTGTTCTCCAAAGCTGTGTCGCGGATGTTAACCTCTTCTTGCAAAATCTGGTAGAGACTTGTGACTCGTTGCTCACAGTCTCAGTTTGCCAACATATCGCTGAAAAAATCAAACCAATATTCTCCATTCTTAATCGTATCGAGGGTGTTTTGGAATGTGGTGCTCTTCCGAAACAAAGGGGGGAATCTAAGAAGCCATTTGATGAAGAACCCAAGAAACCAACTGACGAATCTGGTGAGTACGAACACAAGCAAAAGCCAAAATCAAAAGATACGAACTTAATGAAGCTTCTAGATCAAAAGGAAAAGGAAAATTGATTGATAGTGATAAAGAAGAAGAAGAAGATTTGTCTGAAGGGTCAAAACTTAAAAGAAAGAAACGTGACCAAGAGCTTGATGAGAATCTACGGGTTGAAAAAGAAGTTGAAATTCGGGAAAAGGAGCCTCGTGATGCTCAAATCACACTCAAAACTCAAAGGGACCTCTTCCTTCCTTGGTTGATGGAGCGAATTTTGAAAGAAGCCATTGACAATCCGAAAGTTTACTCGTTGGAGCCAGTTGCTTCGTTTGAATTGGAAAACACTTTGGAGTGTCAACTCGATTTTCCGATCACTGTGAAAGCATTTTTATTCTGTTGTTTTGATAAGGTTGAGAAAGCTCCTAATTCAGATAACGATGCCAATCTCATGCTTATCTCCATTTATCTCTGGCATGGAAAGCCCCAATATCAAACTTGGAGTTCGAAGAAGATTACTGCTGTGAAAGTCTTTGGTCTGATTGAAACAAATAGCTTCATTAATGCTCGGTTCAAAGCATCACAAGGGGCAAGCAAACCGATCGTTGAATCCTCTCTTGCATATTTGTCGTGCCTTAATCCATATTATTGGATTTCATTGTTCAATTTTTTATCTAAAGATGAACAGAAATTCGAACCTATTGTGGCACATTTGAAAAGGATGTTGGTTTCCTACATTCAAGAAATCGGGAAAATGGATGTGGAGATAATGGCTGTACTATGGAAGAAACCCACTGTGCAACCAAAAGAAGCTCTGAACAATGTCACCAAGATAAAATTCGGAAGAATCCAAAAGGATAATTGGAGTGTGACATTTCAAGAAAGTGATAAAGATGGTACAAATGTTCAGAAGTGCTTATTTTCCTTACTTGACAAGCATCTTTATTCTACTTCTTGTCTGAACTACATTGTGGGGATTATTGAACAATGTAAGACGAATGTTGTTGCGGATAAGAAGTGCCCCGTAGATATGATCAAATAGTATATCACAGTTCAAAATAACTTGCTTGGATTAATGCTGAAACTTTTCTAAGGTTCAGAAAAGCCAACAACACTAAAGAATTTCCTTCTTTATTTGACACAAAGGGAGAGATTGTTAGGTTATTTATTGTGTTGTGTCAAATTTTATATGTATGTATTTAGCCTTAATTAAACGGATTGGGCATGTCCATCCATATTTATGGTGCTAGGGTTAGGCTATAAATATTACATGCATGTTTTGTATTATGGTCAATGATTTTGGATTGCCCGACATCGTCTTTACAGAGAAGTTCACACAAAACTCTTCTAAGACTTTGATAATATAATCATTCGACACCTTTTTGATCAATTGTTCTTCGTGTTTTGATCCACTTTTTTGTAAAATGATCTATCGATCTTAAGTTTATTGTTTCAACACTTTATAATTAGAATTTAGTTTTTGCACTAATTTAATATTATTAACCAAATTACAGTATTTATTAGAAAGAAATTGAAAAATCATGGAGGTTTCAAATGCATGTCGTGCAAGTAAAAATGCCTCCTCTATAAATATACTAGGTGAATACCCGCGCGTTGCGCATAATACAACAATATATTTGAAATATTTATAAATATATTAACGACATTGTTGTTTGCTCTTATATAATAAATCTTCTAATAAGTTGATGTTAATATTGTTTGTTTTGAATTATATGATAATATAGACATCTTTTAAAATTCTATAATCTCAGTTTTGTCAATGGTCTCTACGTGGCTTATTTGTGAATAAAATTAAATATAATATATGGTTTAATGATATTTATAGTTGTTTTTATGACTAATTAAATTTAAAAAGTTTATTTGTTTGTTATTTTAATTTCTATCATTGTAGTTATTTTAAACATCAAACATTGTTTTTTTTAAAGGTAACAATATAATTTTTGTATATAATGTTACTTTTAACTATTGTTGTTGTAAGTTATTTTAAATAATGTATTTGGAAACTCTTAATTATTTTAATTTCGTTTTAGAAATTTAACTTTTTTAAAATTTATTTGATGAATATTGTTAGTTTCTTTGATTTTAATTATTTAAAACAACAAACATTGTTTTTGTTGTTAAATATATCATTATAATTTTTTATATAATATTACTTTTAACTATTCTTATTGTAAGTTGTATTTAAGCTACTTATTTGAAAATTCTTAATTATTATAAAAAATAGTTTCTTAGTTTTTTTTTCTTTTGTTAGGTTAGGATTGCAATTTAGGTTTATCACTATAATTTACTAATTTTAGCTATTTATAGAATAGTCTCTTGATTTTTTTTTAAGTTTAACTGGAATATTGATTTAAGTTAATCGTATAACATTATATTGAAATTAATAATTTAACTATTTTGCATAAAATCATAAATTATGCAAAAGTTATGACTTTAAAATGAAAATTGCTCACATACAACAATATATCTAAACTAATAAGTTAACAATAATATTTTAAAAAGTTAAAGTCATAATTCTATAAATATAAATAAAATATGATATCTTAATATTATAGTTTAGTTAATTTATTATTAAAATTTAGTTTTTGCATTAATTTAACATTATTAACCAATTTATAATAATTATTAGAAAGAAATTGAAAAGTTATGGAGGTTTCAAATGCATACGGTGCAAGTAAAAAATTTTCGTTTATAAGTATACTAGACGAATTCACACGCGTTGCGCAGCGTAGATTAAAAATATAGTGTTAAAATATTGAAAATTTTATGTTATTGATATTAACTTTGGCATAAGATTTTAAATAATATTATTCATTAACATCAACCCACATTCCTCATTAATAGAATTAAATATAATTATCTATTTATTATTATTTTTAACAATTGTTATGATTGATTAATTTAAATTTTTACTTATGCAATTATTTTCTAATTTCAATAATGATGTTCATTTAAAATAAAATTTATTTGTAGCTAATGTTATTATATAATTTATAAATTGATGTTATGATTAGCATTTGAAATTATTGTTCATTAGTTTTAAATCACTTATTAGTATTAATAAGTTAAAAAAGACTTTTATGAAACACTTAATATTATTACTAAATTGTAACACATACACTAAATAATAAACTGATAAGATAGATAATTTGCATTAATAAACTAATAAGATAGATAATTTGCATTTCAAAAGAGATTTGTATGGATAATATGACATATCCATGATTTTTATAAATTGATTTTATTATTTATAATTATTGTTCATTGATTTTAAAACCACTTATTATTATTAATAAATGAAAGAAAACTTTTAAAATACACTTATTATTATAATTAAGATGTTAACATTTATTAAAATATAAAGTGATAAGATAGACAATTTGTATTTTAAAAGAGACTTACATATCTATAATTTTTAATTAATTATTACTTTGAAGCAACACAAACGTACAAACATGTACACAATATTTAATTAAATATTATCTATATCACTTTCCATAACATACGATCGATAATATGAATTTAATCTAATTTACATTAAAATTTCAACCACAACATACAATGATTGTCTTAAAAGAATACTTAAACCAAGAAAAAAAGAATTAATATATAATAAAATTGTAAATTAAAAACTTTAACATAATAATATGGATCGAAAAGTGGTTCAAAGCACCCAAACCAACACAAAAGCTTTAAACTTGTTTTCTTTTTGAATTTTGTATGTAATTTGGACTATTCATTAATTGTTTATTAAACATACTATACAAGTTATAAAACATTTGAATGGTTAATCATTATTAAGAGACTTTTTAGCGGTATTCATTCAAATAGGAGGTTTCAAATAAATATGGTTTGAGTAAAACTGTCTCATTTATTAGTATACTAGGCGTATTCTCGCGCGTTGCACAGTAAAACAAATATATGGTTAAAATATGTTGAAATTTAAATTTTATCTATGGTTTTTGGTCATTTTTTATATTTAGGCCTATTAAAAAACCTATGACCCTAGAATATTGGAACCACTCCTGGAACATATTATGTCGGTTTTTAATATTTCAAAACCGCTCCTAAAATTGTCAATATTGATGTTTTAATTTTTTATTACAGAATAAGTTGATTAGCTATTACAATATATGAAAAAAAACTAATTAACTATATAAATTATTGATAACATAAATACAAAGAACTAAAGGAAAAGTTAAAATTATAAATAAACGATGTTTATAATTGATGTCAAAATATCCTGTAATAGATTCTAACCAGATTAATAATGATTATAATACCCAAAATGAGTTTTAGCCCTCATATGTTATTGGAAAAATATAAGTTATAAAACAATTAAACGATTTGTATTTTGTGAGAGTCTCTTGCCATTATGTTTATTCAAACAAAAAAATTAAAGGTGCATTTCACTTTTAACTACCTTACAGTTAAATCATAAATGTCTCATTTAAAAAGATCATGAATGATTAAACGATTTATAATCAAATAATAGTGTTAATGATATATCAAAAATTCAAATTTACCATTTTTATGGAATATAACAAAATCAATTTTAATAAGCTTTATCAACTACATAATTGTCATCTATAAGACCATTTCCATGTCAGCGAGTGTGAACATCCAACACAACATGAAGAACTATAAAAATTAAACGTCAACATGCACTCCATTACACCATTTTAGAAATTACACCCAATAAATCTTTAGAAAGTTTAGTTATATAATTTGAAGTAGAATGAACATTAACCTACACCATGTTGCAAACTCAATTATAATTTATATGACATGGACTGTTGTGTTTAGACTTTAGATGGTTAGTTGCATAGCTTACTTTTAGGACCCCACTGAACATGATTATAACTATCATGAAAAAGAAAATGCAAAACTTTAAAATAAATTAAAACACCAAAATTTTAAAATCAAGAAGCATGATCTACGCTAGTTGTATCCATTCTTGTTTTGTATTGTTGTGAAGTAGTCTTGTTGCTCATGTGAATCTAGATGCAATGATTAGAACATCTTCATATATAATATTTTTCATTCCAACCAAAATCATAATTATACAATATAAATTTGAATAATAAGAAAGAAGAAAATAAAGCAATATTTCTTACCATAAACTTTCATATTTCCTTCTCATCGTCATCTTCCTCTTTCTTATTAATTATGCTCTCCATTGTCAATCTTTTTATACAGAGTTTCTAATTTATCTCTTAACCACTCACACAACTCTTTAAACCATTCTAATAAAAATCTACCATAGTGAACTACATATATATATATATATATATATATATATATATATATATCAATTTTAGTCGATTGGTGTCATAAGAACATTAAGTATCATAAGTTAAAAAAAACTATTGAGTGGTAGTTGTTAATTAGATGACAGTGAAAAGTTATGTAGGTTTAAATAGATATTATGGAATCATTATTATAAAAAAATATAAAAACACATGGAAGTTTCAAATGATTGTGGTGATAGAAAAAATATCTCATTTATAAGTATAGTATGAGTAGGCGAAAGCATGCGCGTTGTGCAGAAACACCAATATAGTTGAAATCTTTACAAATATATATTTTCTTAAATATAACAATTATGATGTTGTTAAATTTGATATAATAATTCGTATACTAAGTTGATATATTATATTGATTATTTTAATTTAGATGATGATATATACATCTAACAAACTGGATAACCTCACTGATTTAATGACCTCTACTTACGGGTTACTCATGAATGAAAATAAAAAATAATATATTGTTTAATGTTATTTATAGTTGTTGTTATTGTTAATTAATATTTTAAAATTTATTAGCTTAATATTTTAATTTCTATCATTATAATTATTTAAAATATCCAACATTGTTTTTTGTTTTTAAAGTAACAATATAAGCATTTATATACTGTTATTTTTAACAATTGTTATTGTAAGCTATTTATTTGATAACTTTTAATGATTATAAAAATATTTTTAGGAAATATTTTACTTAAATTGAGATAACAATTTAGCTTTTGCATTTAGCACTACTATTTATCACTACTATTTATCACTTTTAACTATTCACAAAATATTCTTTGGGTTTTTTTAAGTGGAACTGAAATTTATATTTAAGTTGATCATATAATGTTATATTTAAATTAACAATTTAAGTATTTTATCCAAAATGTTCAAAAATCATAGCTTTAAACTGATAATTGTTTACGTATAACAACATATTAAATCTATTAAATTAAGTATAATATGTTTAAAGAGAAAGACATAACTTTATAAATAGAAGTAAATATATTTTTTAATATTGAAATTTAGTTTAATTATGATTACACTTTAGGTTTGATATTTATTTAACCTTATTAACCAACTTATAATCATCAATAGAAATACACTACAATTTATCACCTTTAACTATTTACAAAATATTATTTAGGTTGCGTAGGTTGAACTAAAATATATATTTAAGTTGACCTTATAATATTATATTTAAATTAACAATTTAAGTGTTTTATCCAAATTGTTCAAAAATTGTAGCTTTAAAATGATAATGGTTTACAAACAACATCATTTTAAAACTAATAAATTAAGTATAATATGTTAAAAGTTAAAGACATAATTTTATAAATAAAAGTAAAAATATTATTTTAATATTGAAATTTAGTTTATATATGATTACACTTTAGGTTAGACAAAACTACACAAATGGTCCCTGTAGTTAGCAAAAATTGCCACTTTGGTCCAAAAAGGTTTGGACTAGCACCAGAGGTCCAAACTTTTCATTTTGTTGTGAGTTTGGTCTAGTTTTTTATAAACTTTTTCATAATCACTATTTTACCTTGGTACTTTCTTTTTCTATTTATTTATTTATTTAAATATTTATTCTGATTAAAAGAAAAATAAAAAGAATCTCTCTCTTTCTCTCTCTCTCTCTCTCTCTCTCTCTCTCTTTCACACACACACACATACTTAATACTCAACAATCCAAACACCCCATCATCAATCAAAGCTGCTGCTTCCTCCCTCCACCGTGCCTATCTCCCTTCACCCCCTTTCTCGTCGACAAGCATCAGAACACACAACGGGCAATTGGGAATGCTACCTGCCACCACCATTTTAACCCACCTCATCCTTCGAATACCATAACCCCTCCATCACCGGTGTCACCTCTCACTCTTTTCATTCGTTGTTCACAACCGAAGAAGAGGAAGAAAAAGGCAAAGCTGCCACCGATCGATGTTGTCATCGTGAGTTCAATCACCATCGGCTGTTATCACCGCCTCCTTCTCCCTCTCGTTTTCTTCTTCTGGTTTTTATGGAAACATCATTCCTAATTTGGGGATCTTTCTAGGTCTTGATCTAGTCTTGATCTAGATCACTCTATGCTTTTCTAATTGAAGTGTGTATTGGGTGGATTATGTTTATTGTTTAAGTTACAGATTAAATGAAAAGAGACAAGGAAGAAGAGACTGGGGGTGTTTGTGTTTGGTCTGTCAGTCAAAAACTAAAAGGAATGGGTCTTCGATTCCCATCTGATCGGAGACGAAAAGGGACCGAAAGCAACAACAGTCTTCTTTCTTTCTTCTTTTCCTGATATGCTATGAAGCACGAAGGAGGAGTCGATTTTTCTGACGGTTCAAGCCTTAAATCGAGGTTGTGGGGTTGAGAAGGGTGGTAACAGCCGGAGAGGGTGCTTATGGTGGTGTTTCTTGGAAGAAACAGGAAGGGAAAGGGGATATGGAGGTGGCGACAATGGGGAACCGGGAAAACATCACTGGTGATTCTAGTTCTTCAACAAGGGAAGGAGACAAATGTGATGACAGTTGCTAAGAGGGTTGTGAAGGGGTATCGGGAAAGTACAACAACAATTCCGGGGGTTTTAACAGCGGGTGCTCGTTGGAACTGCTTCTGATTCGAGTTTGTTGTTGTTTGGTTCGGTTTTTGAATCTGCATCTAGATCGATTTCATGGATTTTTTTTTCGTATTGCTTTATGGGTGTTTATCTATCTAGATCGATTCAAGAATCCAAATAAAATTTTTGTATTATTATCTTTTGATGATTCAGATTTTTATGGTATTTTCCATTGTAATGTTCTTGGGTAATGTTCTAGGTGATGACGAGAGAGAGAGAGAGAGAGAGAGAGAGAGAGAGATTTAATTTTATTTTTTATTTTTTTTAAATCAGGAAAACAATTAAGAAAAAAAATCATATTAATAAGGGCAAATCTATCATTTTGAAAAAAAAAAAAAACATAACAAATTGGACCAAACAAGCAACAAAATGAAAAGTTTGGACCTCTGATGCTAGTCCAAACTTTTTTGGACCAAAGTGGCAATTTTTAACAAACCACGGGGACCATTTGTGCAGTTTAGTCTTTAGGTTATATATTTATTTAACCTTATTAACCAATTTATACAAAGTATTAGAAAGAAATTAAAAAGTCATTAGAGTTTTAAATGAATGTTGTCAAAAGAAAAATAAACTATTCAAAAATTTTAGTTTTAAAATGATAATGGTTTACATACAACAACATTCTAAAAAACGCGTCATGACGCGTCTCAAGGCGTGCCATGGCGCGAGGCATGACCTAGTCGTTACGAAAGTGTTTAAGGTGGACTTGTTAAGCTTGACGCCCAAATAACGTGTCAATGTACGTCATATCGAGTTATGGCACGATTTTTTTTCAAGGCACGGGTTCATTTATTTTTTATTATTATTTTTTTAATCGGTCCTAAAATAATTGAGTTTTTGTTAATTTTTTTAGATTAAATATTAATATAACACTTCTAAAAACTTGATATATTTGATAAAAATTCAATAATTTTATGATTTATCTTTTTTTAATTTATATAAAATAATCACGCCATGAAAAATATCAAGGTTTGCCATTATTTAACTTTGATTTTATCGTCAAGCTCATGTTTCACGTTATTTAAAACCTTGATAGATATAGATATAGATATGATATATAGGTATAGATATAAATATAGATAGATTAGAGTAAATTGCAAATTTAGCCCCTATAACTATATGACAAATCAAAAGTCCGGTACAAAATTTCATATTGTCCCAAATTAAAGTCATTTTGAATTTCGTTGCAGATAAGGTCCTTAACAAACAAAACTTAAGGAGATCATATATGCAGCAAAAAGTGAAAAGTTAAGGAAGATATCGTGACAATTTCAAAACATGAAATAGACTTGCGAATTTGAGTAAAATAAGAAGAAAATTTGCAATGTTATCTCGTTTTTTATATTCTTTCATTACATATATTAGCAAAACTAGGTATGATACACATGTATTACATGAGTTTAATTAAAAAAAATATATATAAAATTTTAACAATTTGAAAAGTTTGAATTTATAAGAAAAATCAGAAAATTTTGAATTATTAAAATTAATGAGACTTTAATATATTGAAGATATTACATATATAAACTTTTTCTAATAAATACTTTACATATATATTAGCTTACATATTAAATGTAAAATTTTAATTTAATAAAATAAAAAATACAATAAAATAACAAGTGGAAAATAGAAAATTTAAAAATTCTAAAAAATATCATGTGTCCAAATGAATAAGAAAAGAATATGTGGTACAAAAACCTTCATTTATTATAATAAATTAGGAATCATTTGAAGGGGAATAAACATTTTGCATGCCATTGGTTTATGATTAGATTACTCTTTAAAGCTTTTAGTTGCCTTTAAAAAAGACGTACGTAAGCATGAAGCCTATTAGGCATTAGCTTGGTTTTTAAACATTTTAATTTGTAGGTAAAAATTATTTAAATAAATATTTTCGAAGATACTTGCTAATTTACAGTGGGAAACCAATTTTTTCATCAACAGAAATCCGCTATAAAAATATAATATAATGACTACTGTTAGTAAACAAATGACAAAGTTTAGCATTATGATGTATAATTATATTAACTTGTATCCAAACCAGAAGCAAATGAGAAATAATATAACGATATTTACAATGGTTGATTTGGCCTCTGAGTACGTATATGAGATCCATAAGCTAAGTTAGCAACTAGAACTGAAGAAAAGTTCCAAATAATTTGAGTATAAATTAAGATAGATTTAAACCACGTAACTTTATTCGACTAAAGTCGACAAAGGAACTAGTGCAAAGATCGAGAACCCTATAATTTTTATTCTTGTAATTATACTTTGATCATAACATATAATTCTTCTCCTTACCAATTATAAGGTCCACTCTGTCTAAACCCCATATGTTCATCACCACCATCGTTAGCTGTGGTACTTCCGCCATCCTCCACCGTCATCGTGAAATACTGTTGGCTTTGTGGTTGCCGGAACTGCACGTTATAGCCATCATTAGGACGCAGCGCAACCCCCGGGCTACTTGATCGAATCCCATCAGTGAAACTATATGTATTACTGTTGTAAGTGTTCAACAACTGATGAGAAGAAGTAACGGATGATTCGTTGGACAAATATGGAGTGGAAGTTACATCGCCGCCAGTGTTGCCGCCACCAGTGAAGCGTTGGACCATGGCACGAAAGTTGGTGGCGTCGGTGTTGAGTAAGGTGGTCGGAGTTCTTCTTGAAGCTCTTGATCGTCTTCGACTATTTGTGGGCCGTGTTACCTTGCTGAGCTGATTAGAGACACCGGTGTTGTTGCTGGTGGTGGTGGTGTTGGTGACCACCGTCGCATCAGTGGCGGCGTCACTGGGCCAGCTTTGTACTGTTGTGGGTTGGTTGTTTTCGTAGAATTGAAGCCATTGATTGTTGGAACTTGACATGGTTCCGCTCATATCATCAAAGGGAAGCGAAGAGAGAGAGAGAGGGAGAATTAAAAAGGATTGAAATTGTGGATACGATTTCGATGATTTGAAAAGAATATAATGAGTCGGATATTTGGTCGTTGGTCAAATTATGGACTTTTCCTACTAAAGGGAGATCGTGCCACGTGGGGTTTGATGTCGGAAGTGGAGTAGACTTTGGGATGTTAGAGCGGGATGTTCTGGATGCTGGTTAAAGGCATTTACACCCAAGACGGGTTCTTGGAAACAACCATCTAAAGGCATGATTGTTGACTTGTTCGTACCTCGTTATATGTTTATACTTTCCCCAACTAATCTAACATCTTGTTTTGGAGTTCATTTTAGGAGTTGAAAGTTAAAAACTATCAAGAAAAATATATTTTCTGTTTCTTTTATTAAGGACAGAAGGAGAAGGTATAGAAATGGAACGGAGTCCAGTGGAATGAAAGAAACGGGCAAGTGGGTTGGCGGATCAAAATATGTTGATCCTAACACGATCCATTTAAATATACATATCATGGGTTGGTGGGTTTAAAACATAAACTCATATATAACCCGTCAATCCATTTATTTATACAGGTTTATAGGTTGGCGGGTTCATGGGTCAGATTTGGATTCGTGGGTCAGATTTCATAAATAAAATTGATAATTAAATATGAATAAATTCTTGATGGTTGATACAAATATACAATAACATTGATATAAAACATACACTGATACAAAATTTTATGTTCAAAATTTATGGGTTGTTATCACTTTCTGATTAAAAACCAACATTACACATCAATTTCATGTTCAAAATTTAAGTTTTCTTAGTCCTGTGTTTGTGTTATCAGCCTCTCAATTCATCGACAATCTCACTTCTCACAATCCTATTATAATCACTCATACACACTTCACCTTCATATTCAAAACCAAATCTGTAAGGAACTAAGGAAGTGCATCTTGTAATCGGATAACTGAGCCAAAAGAACAACTTAAGAAACATACGAGAAGATTGTATTGGCGACTCACGTTCAGGGGTTTAATGCTTCAGCCTTCAAGCGTCAACATCGTTTGTGATTTCGATGCACGATTTGATTTCGATACCTGATTTCGATCACAAAGTAATAGAGGGGAGAGTGGGACTATGGGAGACCGAAAGATTCGAAGTCTGGAAGAGGGAGATACACTCATATGCGACTTGATTTTTAGATTATTATTTAGGGCAAATGGGCAAAATGGTTACAGACTTATCCGGTTACGACTTACGATCTTAGGTCATTCACCACGAGTCAAAATGTCAAAAAAATCAAATGGTCTATGAATGAATACTATATATTATATAATACTTATTAAATATTAATACTTGATACATAAATTCATTTATAAATAAAATAATTTTTTTTATTAAAAATATAAACGGGTTGGCAGTCAACCCGTTAATTTTTTGAGAAACTCGTATATAACCCGTTTAATAAACGGGTTGGCGGGTAGAGCGGTTAATGGATTGACGGGTTGAAAAACTCAACTCAAACTCATTTATTTTTTTTTATTAAAAATATAAACGGGTTGGCGGTCAACCCGTTAATTTTTTTAGAAACTCGTATATGACCCGTTTAATAAACGGGTTGGCGGGTAGAGGGGTTAATGGATTGGTGGGTTGAAAAACTCAACTCAAACTCATTTATTTTGTACCATATCGAGAATTATTAGCACTAAAAAAAGTTAAGAAACCATCAAATGTGTTTTACAAAGAGTGGTTTAATTAAAAGGTGGTTGGGGAATGAGTAAAAAAGGATCAAATCCATCATTCTAGTTTTAGTAAGGGTTGTGTTTCATTCTAGTTTTAATAAGGATTGTGTTATAAGTATCATTTTAACCAAATTTATCCCTCCTAAAATCAATCACATCAACTTTTTGATATTTGATTTGATATTATTTTTTTTTCTTCTTTATCTTTTATTGTTTTTTTTCCTATTTTGTTTTTGGTATTATTAATTCTTTTTTAATTTATATTTATATTATTATTATTATTATTATTATAAATTTCGCATAAAATTTTAACATTTAGAAGACATTATAAATTCGAACGACTATATAAAATCGGTTTTTAAATATTTTTTAATTTTTAATATTAATATTATTACCGTTATTATTATTAAAAATTTCGAACAACATTTTATAAATCAGACATTATAAATTCGAACGGCTATATAAAATCGGAAACATTGTTTAGTGCTCAACTAAATGTTTTCAATCCACATAACGCACCACACAATTGTAATATTGTACCAATTAATATCCGTAATTAATAGGGACAGACTTTGCTTTTGTTCCGATTTTATATAGCCGTTCGAATTTATAATGTCCAATTTATAAAATATTGTTTGAAATTTTTAATAATAATAAGAAGAATAATATTAATATCAATATTTAAAATTTTTTAAAAACCGATTTTATATAGCCGTTCGAATTCATAATATCGTCCGAATGTTAAAACTTTGTGCGAAAATAATAATAATAATAATAATAATAATAAATAATTAAAAACAACTAAAAACAAAATAGGAAAAAAAAAACCCAATAAAAAACAAAATCGAAAAGAAAAACAATAAAAGACAAAAATCAAATCAGATGATGGAATTGGAAAAAAAATTGGTACTTATGAGAAAACCCTTTAACAATTAACAATGACCCATGTTCAAATCCTGGCACCACTCAGCCCTTGTGGCTATGGAGGTTCGCTTGCAGTGATTCCAGGGCATGAGGTAAAGATTTATGTTTGCAGCGGGGTATTAGTCTGTGCGCGAAAACTGGCCCGGAAACCCTCGTTAAGGAAGTTCCCTTTCCAAAAAACACATGAGTACTTATTACAAACATTTATCACTAATCATAAATATGATGGGCATCACATTATTATATCTCATAAGCACAAAAAATCATTAAAACTTAATATACTAATCACTCTACAATTTAATATCCTTATTTTTTTATTTAACCAAATATACATTTTTTAATTACTTAAAATATAGAAAGAATTGTTGAGAGTTAAAGAGAGAGAAAATTCTTCATCCCTACCACAAACTACCAACCACTATCCACCACAAACCACCGGAATGGTTTTCATGCTCAGTGGTTGTTGCCAAACTAACCATAGAGGTGTCCATTATATGTATTTTAGATAACGTAAGCGGTTTAGAAGAAAAAGATAAAATACTCAAATCCATCATTTATCAATTACATTTCCTTCAAACCGAAGAAAACAATTATTATTATGTTTTTTTTTTCTATTTCATTCTATTTTATTTTCAACCTTTCCCTTCATTAAAATATTCAAGAGAACAAAACGCAAGTTTATCTTTGTTGGAAATTCAATGGTTATTAATTTTCTTTTTGCAATATATAATATTTTTTTATAATATAATATTCATTCTCGTTTTTCAAATATAAATAGTACAAATATAGGTTAGGCCATGAATATAACAATGAAACTGATTTGTATACAATAGTTTTCTCGATAACTACACAACAATTTGTATTTAAAATATTGTATTGTACAATCCTATAAAGTATAAATTATTGTATATGGAAAAAAATTGTTATGTATGAATCATTTCACATACAACAATAGTCAATCAATTTTAAAGACAAACTAGCAAGTGATAATAGACTTCGACCCGTGGCGTTTTTTTAGAAATAAAAACCCAAAAATCGGTGCATTTAAGTAGGTATTTATGATATGTTTCATGTGAGTTATCTGCGCAAATGTTTAAGCATATATGATGAAACGGTCCCGTTATCCGAAGTGAAATTTGATAATAAGTTAATATATGTAGAAGATCCTGAAGAGATTGTAAACGAACGAACAACTGAATTACATAATAAAGAAGTGGAATTGGTGCTTGTCAAATGGAAACACCATCGAGGCCCAAATTATACTTGGGAAAATAAAAATAAGATAAGAACGAAATATCCCCATTTCGTTATGATTTCGGGGACGAAATCTTCAAAATGAGAAGGTATTTGTAACATACACGTTCAGTTATCGTGTTTTGTAACTTTTAAAAATGAATATGTAACATACACGTTTTGAAATCGTGTATTGTAAATTATAAAAGAGAATAATATTATGTGAAATTGAGTGTTGAGTTCTAACAGCTAGTTTTTACTAGATATGAAGTAAAAGTATGTTTAGAATCACTCATAAAATATTGGAAGTTTTATGAGATTCCAATTAAAAGACAAATAGTGAAATATAGAGAAAATATAAAATTTGAAATAAGAAAAAATTTATTATTGAAAGTTTTAGATAATCTCGTTAGAAACACGTAGGCGAAAACCTTGTCGAAATCCGAGTTATAACGAAGAAGTTACCACCAACCGAAGATCCACGACAAAACTGGCACGGCGCCGAATTACGTAAAAAGTGAGTTTTTGATAAACTACTTTTTAGCCTTAGTAATCTAAATGAAAGTCGTAGTATTCATTAAACGAGAAATTCGATAAAAAGAACGCCAAAATCTGACTTCGTATGAGGAAGATATAATTTTTCGATGTTTCAACTTAGCAGTAGACAGCTAAGAACTCGAATTTTAGATCGAGCGACATTTGACCGATACATCCTAAACGAGAATCGAAGGTCTCCTCATTTGTAGTACAACGGTAAAAAGTCTGATGAAAACGGACGTCGGATGAAGAAGTTATGAATTTTTAATGGATTTTTCTATCCCGGTCTGTTAAAAATAATAATATTAAAAATAAAATCAAAGTTAGCCGACGAAGTCTAAACGAAAGTTGTAGAGCGTAATTTTAGCTATGCGTGCATATAATGACCATAAAAAACGGAGCTCGTATGCGAAAGTTACGGATTTTAGAAGTTTTGGGTTCAATTTCCGAGAATTTCGCATGGTTGGTGTTCGGCCACGTCACCTGCTCTCGCGAAGCTCCCCCTGTCCGATGTCGATGAGTCATCCGACGCGTGTCGCATTCTTCCCAGG